TAGTGAATGAAATCGTGTTTACAGCCAGTTGATATGACTTGTTTAAGTGGTCAATGATACCATTTTGTTCTACAACTGCTCTATGCAGAGAAAGAACGTCATGGGTGAAAGGAATTCTAACAAACATAAAGCAACCGATCCTTGGAAGTTCTCAATTTCAGGAACCCATTCTGAGGGAAATATCAGATCCCGAAGTTGACATGACAGCTTCTGAAGTTACCATGACACAGAATAGTCCACATGACACTAAATTTCTTGAGTCGCAAAATGTGCTTCAGTCGCCGGAAGTGACAATGACTTAAAATTTGCTACAATACCAATCATCCCTTTAGGTAAGACTGGAACCTTGACAATTGACAAAGAATTATAACAACCTTAACTAAAATCTGAAACATACATTTAATCTGCTTGAAAGGAAGAATTATTCTTCCAGCTGCTTGAGAATCTTCAGCATCTGACAGATTCAGAAACTTCGGCTTCACAACCGTCATTAACTCAGCTAGCTGACAAACCGCAATGTTTGTTTAGACTAGAGCCAACCAAACTTACACTAGGCATTTGATCCCAAGGCATTGATGAGCAAACTATTTGATCTCCAGGTCCCATAGAGCACGTGGCTGTTGCTGAAGCTAACTATTTTTCAACATACCCTTTTGGCCCAAATCCCTGTCCAAACAAATTCAGAAATGTTAGATTCTCGATATCTGATATTCTACTTTCATCAATTTCCCCACTTTGGTTTACTGGAGGCTGCAGCTAGCTCAGCTTTGCCAAGGTGCTAATGAAATATCCATAGCAAATTCAATGAGTATTAATTCTGTGTCTCTTAACTTCAATGTATTGGCCTTTGTGGTTAACTCAGGTGACAGTGACACCATAGTCATAGTATGTGAGTTTTAGATAAAAATCCTGAAACACAAGGTTTTTCGCTGAATGCTGTTCAATAAGTGGTTTAAAAAGGCTAAGATATAGGAAAGGAGAAGTTAAAAGAAGAGACTAATCTACCGTCCAGTGACTTCCAACCCTGTATATTCCCTTACCTCCATCACATGTTTATAACCATAACTAGTGCTTTAATGCTGTCAGCCTGGGACAATAGAACTGCAACACTATTTGGTTGGAGATTTATGTTCGACTAGGACAAGTAACCACTTCATCATAAAATGCTCATCCTTATTCATGCCATTGCAATTGCATAACCCAATTATGGCTGTGCATAGGCATCAATTGGATAACTTGGATCCGCCTTGGGATGGGTCAGTTTAGGTTATTCGCATCTTATTTTGTACTTTAAATAAATTGGATTTCATCTATTTTCAAAATAATAGAAGAATTATAAGTTTTTCGTTTAAGTTCTAACACATTCATCATGAAAGAAATTCAATAATAAAAAAAAAATGTAAATATTCATTTTTAACAATTTAATTGATTTTCTTTTTAAAATTTTTGATTTTGTCCATGTCATGGTCCTCATGGATGATATTAAATCTAAAAATATATTTATAAAATTGTAATCCATTATTGTTTAATTTCTGTGATAAGTACTATCGTCACCAACCGACATCTGTATCCCATCAAATTGATTGAATAAAATGTTTCATTATTTGATTGTTTCGATTTCTTACTTTAAAAAACACATTTGACGCTATCCAAATATAAAATTTATAATACTAATTTTCAATAAAAATATATTAATACAAAATGTTTGTATTAATCAAGATTTTTGACGTCTGAATTTGTATATAAATAGATATCAGAGAGAAGGCTAATCGGTTGAAATAAATTAATGACAATACCATTTATCTACATTTCGAAAAACCCATTAAAGGCTACCTTTGAATATATATATATATATATATATATATGATAAATTTGAATATATTTTGTAGTTTCTCCCAAATTTAATTAGCTGTATTTTTTTAATGGTAACAATGTATGGACTATAGTTTTTATGAGCAACGAATTCTAATTGATCAATTGGCTCTTAATATAATTATTAAGGAAGTTCTTAAAACGACAGATTACATATTGTAATTAATATTATTTAAGTTTTTAAAGTGATGGATCAAAATTTTTATATTGTATTTAATAATTAGCTGTCATGTAATAAAATATGATCAAAGTAGCACGTAAGTCTATATACTATAAAATTTTCATCAATTTAATTTGTTTAACAAAAATTGGTTAATTTAGTCTTATATTTTGAAATTTTTGTATAATTGAGTCCTTCTGCCTAATTAGTTAATTTATTTTTGATATTTCTATACTATCTGTAAAATAAATGAAAAAAAAATTGCTCATATTGATACTATGTAATAAATTTAAAATCAATTCAAATTAAAATCTTGATAAAGGAACTCATTTTTTTTGACAAATAATTCGTGATAGTCTATGCTAACACTCTCATTGCATTAGCTATTTCACTCATAAAAAAAAAAAAAGAATTTACTTTGGTATGATCTTACCTCAATTATAGTATTTTTTATAAGGGTTCCACACCAGTGAAAAGTTAAAAGTAAGTTTCGATACTATATATCACGAGTCCACACTTTCAACTCAAAAAAACATGTCTATCAACTTAAGAAAAACTCTTACTTTAAATTAAATACTCATCTTATCTCATATTGATACAAAATTTATGACATTATTATCATTGAGATATAAGTTTTATAATATTAATTTAAAAAAAAATCATGAATCGTATCTTTGGTTCGTATTTATTTATTAATTAAGTCTCAAGTATTAACATATTATTATCGAGCAAGATCTTAAAACGATGAACCGCACCTTCAGATTGCATTAAACAATTAAGTATTGAACATTAAAATATTTATTTCAGATAATATTTGGAATTATGGATCCTTCTCTCTCCATCTTTGGCACAATTTTCCAAGTAGAGAAGTGTCACAAAGGGTTGCGGATAAGTATTAGATAGTTGCATAAATTAGTAAGACTTGAAGCTTATATTATTGAAATGGATTAATCTAAGAGGTAATTTGGGTGTTTAATTATAACAAGATTTAAGGGTAAGCAATATCTAATACAAGCAATTAAGCACACAATCAAAAGCAAAAGAATATGAAAAGCTCAATCAAAGTTATGGATGGAAGTTGAGCTTCCCTTAACCAACGAGAAAAGCTATAATAAATTAATTAAGTTGTCATCATCAAACTCAACGTGCATGAAGTTGAGTTTCTAATTTTTCATTAATAGTGTGTTGTGCATATTTCTTGGGGGTTTAATTCGCACGAATTTTCAATTAATAGGGGGACATTATCAAGTCAAAATCTTCCTTAGCTACCCAAATTTATTCCTGGCTGGACAAATACAAAAGCAACCATGCATTTTCATGTGCCTGAGAAAGACTGCAACAAATGAATGTTGGATTCGTATCCCGACCATCTACTTAGAGTCAGCTATATCATAAAGTCACCGAAATCTTTGTTTTAGGTTTCAATTTTATATAAGTTTTATAATTTTATAATAATATAATTAA